GCTTAGCATGGATCCACGCACCAAGAGGTCATTGGCTTACTTCCTGGTCAGGGCACATGCCAGTGTGGGGTGTGCAGAAGGCAGCTCTCTTATCAATGTTTCTATCTGTCTCTCCCTCTCCCTTCCTCTCTCTCTGAAATCAATAAATATATTTTAAAAAATGGTTACGATGGCCAATTTTGTTATGTGTATTTTACTACAGTTTAGAAAATAAGTAAATACAAAGGAAAACAGATGTTCCCTTGCTGAACAGATCAAGCTCCAATTCTTTTTTTAAAAATATATTTTATTGATTTTTTACAGAGAGGAAGGGAGAGGGATAGAGAGTTAGAAACATCAATGAGAGAGAAGCATCAATCAGCTGCCTCCTGCACACCCCCCACTGGGGATGTGCCTGCAACCAAGGTACATGCCCTTGACTGGAATCGAACCTGGGACCTTTCAGTCTGCAGGCCGATGCTCTATCCACTGAGCCAAACCGGTTTCGGCAAGCTCCAATTCTTTATCAGGACTTACAAGGCCTCTCACAGTGAAGCCCATGGAACATGCCCAGTTTACCCTTCTATCTCTACTGCCCCTCGTTCAGCCGCATCACACACTGTTCCTCATCTTTTATAAATCTCCAGGCTCAGACTTGTATTTCAAGAAATATGCACAAGGCCCTGGCCAGTATGGCTCAGTTGGTTGGGTGTCGTCCCATGCACTGAAGGGTCGCTGGTTGGATCCCTGGTAGGGGACCTGCAGGAGGCAATCTACCAGTGTTTCACTCTCACATCAATATTTCTCTTTTTCTTCCTCTCTCTAAAAATCAATAAAAATATTTTTTAAAGAAATACGCACAAGGCTAATATCAACAAGAGCAACATCTCCCATATATTGAACACTTTTTTGTTGTTGTTAATCCTCACCCGAGGATTTTTTCCCCCATTGTTTTGTTTACTTAATTAATTTATGTTTATATATTTTTATTGATCTCAGAGAAGGGAGAGGCATAGAGATAGAAACATCAATGATGAGAGAGAATCATTGATCAGCTGCCTCTTGCACGCCCCACACTGGAGCTCAAGCCTGAAACCCGGCATGTGCCCTAACTGGGAATCGAACTCTGACCTCCTGATTCATAGGTTGACACTCAACCACTGAGCCATGCTGGCTGGACTCCATTGTTTGTTTGTTTAATATTTTTTTATTGATCTCAGAGAGGAAGGGAGAGGGAGAGAGATAGAAACTTCAGTGATGGGAGAGAATCATTGATTGGCTGCCTGCTGCATGATCCGAGCCTGCAACCCAGGCATATGCCCTTGACTGGAATCAAACCCAGGACCCTTCAATCCACAGGCCGACACTCTATCCACTGAGCAAAACCAATTAGGGCTACATTTTTTTTTTTTCTTAGAGAGGGAGAGAGTAGAAAGGAGGGAGGGAGAGAGAAGCATTTACGTGAGAGAGACGCATCTATTGGTTGTCTCCCACAGATGCCCAGATGAGGGGGCCGGGGATTGAACCTGCAACCCAGGTACATGCCCTTGACCGGGAATCGAACCCGACACCCTTCAGTGCTTGGGCCAATGCTCTAACCACTTAGAAACACAGGCCAGGGCTTAAGCACTTTATGCCAAGCACTGTGCTAGGCATTTGACCTACATGATGTCATCAAATCCTCACAGCAAGCCTATGAGTAGGATAACTTGCCTGTTTTGTAGATGGGGAAACAGGAATTTAAAGAGATTTAATAATTTGTTCAAGTTTGCACCTCCCATAACTTACCTCTTTGATGATTTTTATTTATTTATTTTTTTAAAATATATTTTATTGATTTTTTACAGAGAGGAAGGGAGAGAGATAGAGAATTAGAAACATCGATGAGAGAGAAACATCGATTAGCTGCCTCCTGCACATCTCCCACTGGGGATGTGACCACAACCCAGGTACATGCCCTTGACCGGAATCGAACCCAGGACCCTTCAGTCCGCAGGCCGACGCTCTATCCACTGAGCCAAACCGGTTTCGGCTGATGATTTTTAATAGAACTTGCAAACAGGTTCCTTGGCACGTCATAGAGATCTCTGCTATAGCATTTAACATGTCTGTCTATCTCCCAAGGCCCTGGTTCTCCAGGGCCAGGACCAAGTCTTATTCATTTTTATTTAGAGACCCTGTGGACTACCTAACACAGCACTTGGCATATTGTCAGTAGCCAACAAATGTTTGTTGAAAGAAACAAAAAGAGAGGTAAGGAGAGAGGAATGAGGGACAGAGGGAGGGAGGGTCAGAGGGAGGGAGGGAAGGAGGAAGGGAGGGAGGGAAAAGAAGAGAGGCAGAAAGGAAGGTGGAGTGAGTGGGTAAACCAGGCCTGGAGACTGCAGGGTATGCTGCCAAAGTCCGGAAAAATGGTTAGGGGTGTGCAAGAGGCAGGGGACACTGGGCAGGCATTGTAGGTGCCCTTGGTGGGGGCCTGGCAGACTCTGTGTCACAGCAAAGTCAGTCTTAATGAAAGAGTGCAGACAGCTCTGAATGGTAATCAGGAATCTTGGAATCTAGGGCAGGCTGCAGAAAGAGGTTGGGGGCATGGTGTCCTAAACAGGTCGGGTGGAGGGACGAGAGAAAAGCCAGCCTCATGACACAAGGTCAGCAAGCTGCCACTCAGAACCACCCCCTGGACGGGGACTCAGGTGTGCCAGGCCCTTTGCCCTCTCTATTAACTGGCTCACACGGGAGGCACCGGGGCCGGCTTCTTTTCGTTATTCAGGTCTTTGCTCAAAAGTGACACTGGCTCAGAGAGGGCTTCCCTGACCACCCAGCTAATGCTGCCTCTCCCCTACCACCTATTCCATTATTTATTTTATTCCTTTGTAGAGCTAACCACTCTCTGAAATCATCTTATTTCTTTCTCTTGTGATGGGCTGTCTGGCCACCCCTGCCCTATTCTGTGAGCTTCATAAGAGCAGACTGTGTCTCTCCTTGTCATCAATGCATCCTCAGTGTCTGCAGCTGCTCAATAAATATCAGTTTAATAGACATATTCGAGTGACCCAGGCTGACCCTGAACATTGCACAGGAACCAACCAGAGTTGAATCTGGATTCCCTGTCCGTGCTGAGGCCTCTCTTACAAAACACCGTGATGGGTGCCGGTAGCTTTAAGACCCTGCAAACTCGAGATTGGGAGGGTCCAAGGAGGGGCCTAGGATTTGTGTCTTCTCCCCGACAGACAGACGCTCCTGGAGCCTCCTGACCCTGGACTCACATAGATAGGTCTTAGCTGATCCTGCAGAAGGGGCCAGCACGGCCAGCAAGTAACTCACCCTGTAGTCTGCATTACTGGGAGGAAAATCCTGATTAAGCAAGGAGGCTAGGATACTATGGGGTCTGGAAATGGGGAATGGGTTAACAATTCTTTTTTTTTTTAATGGGCACCAGGACCAATGATTACCAGCCACCCAGCTCCCAAAAAATTATGCTTCCAAAATCTCTTGATGTCGATTCCACACATAAAGCAATCAAGCTGCCCTACGTGTGCCACGCATGACAGAAGCCCTTTTTTGGGTTAACAGTTCTTGAGAGGGAGGAGGACTGAGAGATTGGGACCCAGGGTTGCAGTCCCAGGGCTCCCTAGGGAGTTGGGAGATTTGGGCTAGGACACAAGGATTTCCAAGAGGGCTAAAGACTGGGAGATGGAGCTAGGTGCTGGGGGTGTGGGCATGAGGGTTTCCCAGGGAGCAGAGGCTTGAAGCAGGAGGGTGCACCTGGGAGGTGCTGAGGCACCAGGATTCTCCAAATATCTGGGGGCTGAGGGCTGAGTCACCATATTCTTTAACATCATGCCTTAGCAGCGGTTCTCAACCTGTGGGCCGCGACCCCTTTGGCGGTCGAACGACCCTTTCACAGGGGTCGCCTAAGACCATCCTGCCTATCAGATATTTACATGACGATTCATAACAGTAGCAACATGACAGTTATGAAGTAGCCACGAAAATAATTTTATGGTTGGGTCACAACATGAGGAGCTGTATTTAAAGGGCCAGAAGGTTGAGAACCTCTGCAGGGCAGAGATGTTCCTGAATCTGTCCGTTTTTCCCAGCTATGACCAGCATAAGCCAGTTCTTGCTTAATAGAGTAGAATGCAAGTGACCAAGGCTAGGAGCGATAGAGGCGGCCTTCTCCCTACTGCCTCCACCCTTTTTCCCCAAATCCCTGCCCCCATCTTTCTATGACCCTCTCATGCCCCCTGCTGCTCCTTCCTTGAACAGCAATGGCCAGTCTAAAGAACAACAGAATTCAATCTCTTCCCTTTCCTCCTGATGGACCAACCCCGTAGGACCATCCTTAGAGAGGGGCAGCTAAAGTCCCAAAGGGAAGGGAGTAGCCCTAGCCGGTTTGGCTCAGTGGATAGAGCGTCAGCTTGTCGACTGAAGGGTCCCGGGTTCGATGCGGTCAAGGGCACATGCCCAGGTTGCAGGCTTGATCCCCAGTGAGGGGCGTGCAGGAGGCAGCCGATCGATGATTCTCTCTCATCATTGATGTTTTTATCTCTCTCTCCCTCTCCCTTCCTCTCTGAAATCAATACAAATATATTTTAAAATAATAATTAAAATAAGTTTCACCTTAAAAATAAAAACAAAGGGAAGGGAGTAGATGTCTGCTGGAGAAGGAGGTGGGTTCCTGGTTCCCAAAAGTGATCTCTAGCTGGTGTGTGTGTCCGCGGGAGCTGTTGCTGGGATCTCAGCCTGAGAAGTCACTGCTTCCTCAAGAAGCCTTCTTTCACCCCCAGTCTGGGTTAAGGCTCCTGGTCTACAAGCTTTCTTAACTCCCTGACTGCTCCTTTATGGCATCAGAGTTTCTAACTATCCACTTATTTGTTAGTCTTTGATGAATACATGCCTTCCCCAGGGGGCCATGAGCACCAAGAGGGCAGAAACCAGGGTTGTTTTTACTCATCAATACAACATGACTGGTACATTGCGGATGTACAATAAATATTTGTTGAATAAATAAATGAGTGACGTTCAAAGGGAGTTCTTAGGTGGGGATTTAATGGGTGGTGTTAGTGGCATTGCCTGGGCTCTGGGGACAGCTGTGAGTCCAGATGTCCTGGCTTCTGCTCAGGGCCCGATCCATGTCTAGCCTCTGGTCTTGTGCCCAAAGGCCGTCCAAGCAAAAGGAGGCAGAAGAGGCCTCTCCTAGAGGGAGGTGGCACGGAGGGGGCATTAGGGTGGTTTGGATACTGAAGCTCCTCCCCACTCTTCTTCTTTTCTCCAAACTAAGTTTTTTAAAGCACTTCCTCCCACTGCCCCCTCCCTATCCTCTCTCATCTTGTGAAAATGTTTCTTTCCCCTAACAATGAGCCCCTTGCTTATCTCCTCCCCTGCCTTTAGCTGTTTCCAATGGCGTGAGGAACTTGAACAGCACTCTCTCTTACCTGGCAAAGTCCCCAGGAAGAGACGCCCCTGGGGGTGGGCCCAGAGGCTGAGGAGGGAGTCAAGGCCCACGGGCGGCAGAGCGAGGATCTTCTTTGGCCCCTGGCTCAAGAGCACTTTGGACACATTCAGCTTCAGCTGAAGAGGGAGTCCCAAGACCAGGGGCAGATCCAGGCCTGGCCCGGACCCATAAGACAGCACCACCTTCTGCAGAGTGTGTGGGACAGCGACAGAAGTGAGGGGGGAGAGAAGGAGCCACATCTACTCCTCTGGCCCCACCTCCTAACTGCCTTCATTCTGCCTCTTAGCCACACTTCCTATCTCCTGGCCATTCCCACCTCCCAAATCCAGCCTCCATTCTCCCGGCTTGACCTTCCATAAAGCCACACCCACCCCAAGTAAATAATACAATCTAAATAAAAGCTGTTTGTGGCCCTGGCTGGGTGCTCAGTTGGTCAGGGCATCGTCCCAGACACCAAGGTTGTGGGTCAGTGCAAGGATCAACCAATGAATGCACAAACAAATCGATGTTTCTCTTTCTATCTCTCTCTCTCCACCCCTTCCTCTCTCTCTCTCTCTAAAAAAAGTCAATAATAAATGAAAAGAAACAACCAATGAATCCATGCGTAAGTGGAACAACAAATCAATATTTCTCTCTTTCTAAAAAAAATCAATCAATAAATTTTTTAAAAAAATAAATAAAAGCTGTCTGCTTGATGTCCCCAACCTTAAGGTGTGTCCCTGGCTCCCGTAAGCCTTCTTAATATTGACATTTTGAAGTCCCCTTTCCTCCACTGCTACCAGGTGCCACCACAGGCAGTGCCCCTTCTTACTTGATCTTGGAGTTGGAGGCTGAGCCAAGAAGGGTTTTCTGGGGTCCCCAGGGCAAGGAGGTGGCCAGAGCCTGCTGCCAGCTGGAGTCCCAGGTCCACAGAGAAGGCCCAGGGCTCTACGTGCGGCTGAGGAATATCTGGGGGGAGAAATGATCCTCCTGAGGCCTCAAGGCTAAGGATTCATGGAGGAAGGGGGAAGGCGGTGGAAGGAGGTGGAGGAAGGCAAATACAGAGATGGCCAGGGAGGGGGGAAACAGCCTTTACCTCGGAGACTGAACTCTGCATGAGTTCCTGGAGGGAAGAATATCCCAGGTTGGGACTCTACAGTACAGTTTCTGAGGCCAGTGGGGGCAGACACTGAAATCTGGGCTTGTGGGTCCAGCCAGTTATCCCTGCGCAGGCAGGCATCCAGGGCAGGTACCAGCTGGAGCCCGTGGTGGGAAGGGAAGACACAGGATGTCAGAATTAGGACACCCGAGCCCCAGTCCCAGCCTCCCCACTCTCAGTTCATTCCCCTCCAATACACAAGCGTCTGGCCTCCCCCATGCAACTCTTATCCCATCCCCTCTTCGCAAAAGGGGGGACTTAAATCGCCATGGCCACCCAGTCAGCACTGCTTTACCAGCTCAGGTCATGGTTCCCACCCCTGTGAGGCAGTTACCGGCAACCGGAGGTTGGAGGCGGGGAACAGCAGTCCCCCAACTGCAATCCTCATGACGGGCTGGGGCTTTTCGGCCAGGGGCCCAGAGACCTGTCTCAGATGCAGCACCTCTTCCTTATCCACCCCCAGCAGCACTGAGTCCCCCAGGATCTTCACTTCTACCTGCAGAAAGGAGGGGAGAAGCAAAGTCGGAAACCCCTGAGACCCGTCTCCACTGATTTCTTCAGAGTCAGCCAAGTGCAGTGGAAAGAACATGCACTTGAAGAGTCTGCTAGCATCCTTGGCTCACTTAGGACTTGTTACTTATATACTGACTCAGCTTTAGAATTCCCCTTTGAAATAATCGGGGTTTTGTGCAGATTAAACTAGATGACAATGGTAATGGGATGCCCAATGACTTGATTCTGTTTCCCTTACTCAGACCAGCTCAAGACACCCTTCTCCTCAGGACCAGATCTGGCTTACCTGGTGCCATTTCCCATCATCCAGCCGGGGGCCAGCACCCACGGTAAGCTGGGCCCAGGGGTTGTGCAGTTGGACCTCAGGCCTGCCATCTCGAAGTCCCAGCACAAACCAGTCATCCTTTGGGTTGATATCACCATAAAAAAGCACTCCCTCTGGATCCCAGGTTCGAAACTCAAAGGAGGAGGAGAATCTGGAAGGACACAGAAGGAAGGACTGTGTATGGGGTGTGTCTTTGAAGGTCTATGTGGGGTTTGGGGAGGTGAGGAGGTAAGGGAGAGAGAAGGACAATGAGATAGGGAAAAGAGAAGAGCTGACGGAGATGGTAGGTGAGGGGACTAGGTCAAGACTAGGTCAGCCCCATACTTTGTGATCTTGGTGAGGTTAAAGATCATGATAGAAACAGGCTCTTGTCCTGGGCCATTGCTGAGGTGCACAGCAGGAGGGTCCTGGATCCCCTATCAGAGAAAGAAAATAAACAAGCTGGAATAAGGGCATGCCAGAGACAGACAGAGGAGAGGCAGTGTCACAGGGCCAGAGGAGGAAAGATAGAAAGAGGGCAGCTCCCTTAAACACATGGGCTGATTACCCTGTCCTGTTCCTGCACCTGGGTGGGGGTGATCTGTCTCAGACCCTGTCCCTGGTGGTTATGAGATGGCGGCAGCAGCAGCAGCAGCAGCAGCAACCAACACGATTTGGCCAGAGGGCCTCCGCACTCCATAATCAGCCGGACGCCTCCCTGTGGCTCAGACAACTCTGGTGAGAATGTGCAAGAGCAGGCAGCCTTGCCCACGGTCGGTGGAAGGTTAAAGGTTGCTCCGGGGGGGATGAAGAGGGGGGCAGGAGACAAGGGCACTGACCCTACCACCCTTCTGAGGGGCCAAACGGGGTGAGGGACAAAGTTCCCACTACCCTCCCCCACTGCTGAGAAAGTTTGAGCTGGGAGACGGCATCCCATTCTCCCTCTCCTCCAGAGCCTAGCCTGGCTCCTCCAAGCCTGCTGTCCGCCTGGGGAGGCTGCCGGGACAGGCCGGAGGGTAGAAACTGTCCCGTCCTGCTCCTCAAGCAGCACCCCAGTCAGGACTAGAGCCACGACCCGGAATCCCAGGTACCTCGCTGAGTGACTGTGGGCAGCTCACTCTGCAGGTGTGCATTAGTGTCCTTGTCTGTAAAGTGTGAAAAATGATGCCTACGTTATGTGGTTACTGTGGGTGAGGATTCATGGAGACAATGCCGGCACGGTGCCTGGTGTCTGCTCAGTGCCTCCCTCACTGTTTTCCCAGGCCTCGGAGGCTGGCCTCATAAGGAGGTATTGTCCCTGAGTGTGATTTTGTGGCTACTAAATTATCTTCTTTTATTCACTTATTACAAGGCCTAGCCATCTACCAACAGAAAGTCATCACCCTTTCCCTGACCCATTTAAAAATACAATGGCCTCAGAAAAGCCACCCAAGAGCCATAGTGAGCCCTAACCGGTTTGGCTCAGTGGATAGAGCGTCGGCCTGCGGACTGAAGGGTCCCAGGTTCGATTCCGGTCAAGGGCATGTACCTTGGTTGCGGGCACATCCCCAGTAGGGAGTGTGCAGCTGATCGATGTTTCTCTCTCATGGATGTTTAAAAAAAGAGCCATAGTGAACAGCTTTCGGAGCTGGGGGTCGGAGGCCTCACCCGGGGTCTGCGTGGGCTCGCACTGTGAGGGTTTCGCGGATCATCACCGCCCACTTCATTCCGCCGTGGGATCGCCCCGAGGGACGGGGCAGCCCGTGTCCACAGCGAGGGAGGCGCTGGCAGCCAGACCTTGACCGCTGCCCCGCGCCCGGTCACGAGACCCCGCCGCGGGGAGCAGGGCTGGGGGCGGGGACGTGCCTGCTCTACACGCTGATTGGCTGGCGGGTGCGCGCCTGCGGCGCAGAACTTGGGGGCCCCGAGCAGCGAAGACCGCTCCGTCCGCCACTCCCTCGGCCCCCCGTAACCGGAATCCGGTTTCCGCTCCCCAGCCCGCGGACCCCGCGACCACCTCGCTCCCCCGGCTTCCCGGACCCGGATTTGCAGACCCTTTAAACGCGGTCCCCGTTGCCCTTCGCTGGGCCCTGCAGAACGGAAGGCGG